CTTCGTTATTTACAGCTGCCTTTGGCTGCTCATCAGCTTCTCCAGCAGCTCTGCTGGACACTGCTCACTGGCTGCTTGTCCCCGTGCTGAAAGCCAGGGGTATTTGTGCCCTCAAACGGGTGCCATCTGGCACCCCACCTTTGTACCAGCAGCGTACCCGCTTGCCTGCCAGCTCAGGACAGCCAGCTCCCTTTGAGGAGCTCTGCTGGTTTTAAACTGCTTCCCAATATTGGCAGCAAATCCAAGCTGGAGCACGGGGGGTGAAGTCGTGGCCATATGGCAGAGCCACATGCAGGCTGCATCCTCCTGGCTGGCTCCATGAAGGACTTCACCCGTGGAGGCCAGGGTTACTCTGCTGCCCTTAGTGTTGGTCTCAGCCAGGCTGGCACCCTCAGTCTCCTCGCTCCACTCAGCTGTTGAGCACTGCCAGAGCAGGGGTAGCATTACCAGGCTGGGTCCGTGTGGCCAAGCAGCTCCTCTGGAAGGACAGCATCTGTTTGCCCATGCTGGGGGTGTCTGACACCTAAATGTGGGCCAAATGGCACTTGCCCAGGTGCCCAGATGCCTACTGGGTGCTGGTGGAGCAAACACACGTCTCAGTGGGTCCCGTGCCAGCCAGCTCTGCCTGCTCTGCTTTTGTCCCCACTGTTGGTCCCCACGTGCCCTGGCAGCCCCACGGCTCCATCTGAGATGGAGACTGGGGTGTGAGGCTGGAGCTGCCATATGTTCCCCATAAAAACCCTTCTTGGCCTGTTCCCCAGCGTTTCCTGCCGCTGGCACACGTGCTCAGGATCCCGCATGCCTCACACGCCGCTCACCAGCTGCAGCCTGGCAGATGGAGGAGCCGGGCATGGCTTTGCAGTAGGAGAGGCAGGACTCCGCAGGCTCTGCTCCTTCTTGGGCTCTTCACAGCAGCAGAGGAAGGGGGAGGAGAGCTGGCACCACCCTGCAAACTGGCCCTCTGCAGAAGGGACAAGACCTTCCCGTACCCACTCCCCATCCTGGAGCTGAGCTGTGAGCCCTTTCTTGGCTGCACAAAGTGTTTTCACCCAGTGCCACTTGTTTAAAGGCAGCTGGAAATGGCGTGAGTGTCCTGGGTAGATGGAGACCATCATTCCTCCCAGGCAGGTGGTACTGGTTTGTTCTGGTGGCAGATGGCCAGTCAGCATTAAGAGCAAAGGCAGAAAAACAGTCCTCAGAGGAAGCAGAGATTTATTGTGGTAGGAAATTAAAAACAGATGCGTCAGCTTTTTGGAGTAACTCCTGTTCTGCCTTTATCCATTTGGGGGGACGAGGGCTCCGTGTTCAGCTCTGTTCCATGGCAGGGAGGTCTGAAGGTGCTCAGGACGCTAAAAGCACATCCCTTGGTGGGGGGTGTATCATGATGGGCACTGAGCTGATGTCTCTCTCACCTTGGGTGGCAGAGTGTGACCAGATCAGTGTCAGCTCTGAGGTCAGCAGATGAGTGTCCCAGCCTCAGGAGTGGGACATCTTCATGCCACATCAGGCGAGACACCGTGAAGAGCCAGGTGCTCCCTCAGGGGTGCATTCGTGGTGGGTTCCTGCTGCTGCTGGGCACAGATTTCTCCTGATAAGTCCTTTTACCTTGTGCTGAGCTGTTTTCCAATGACTGTGCCTCGGTGGCACTGTGCCATGGTAGACACTGAGGACACAGGGGGATGCAGAGCAGGCTCTTGGGCCAGTGGTGGGCAGCAGGCAGGTAAGGACACGGGCAGGGTGGGGACAGGGGCCTAAACAGCCTTTGGCTCCCTGCAGTGGGATGGGGTCAGTGCCAAGGTGGTGGCAGATGTTCCCCAAGCAGTGTGGCCCCAGGGTGAGGCTGGGTTTGGTGCTGCTGATGGCACCAGAGCTGCTGAACTCCAGGGGTTGTTTCATACCCTCAGCTCCCTGCTGTGAGAGCCTGCCCATGAGCTTTGCTGCCCACTGCAGCTCTCTGACCAGAAATTAAAAGAAACACAAAAAAATCAAGCTCCAAGGAAGTGAGATCTCCTGGGGTGCAGCCAATTACCAGTGTTAGGGAGAGAGCTGCCTTACCCACTGCTGCTGCTGGTTTCTGTGACCTCTCACTCTGGTCCAGGGTGAGCACGCGTTAATCCCCAAGGCCGGCATGGAAGAGCTGCTGCAGGAAGGACGTTCAGAGCCACAGGCTGGGGAAGGCATGTTGTACCTGCTGCTGAGCATATTACTGCTTCTCCAGGAGTGGATAAGTCCTGCTTAGGAGGACGCTCGTCCTCTTTTATTTAATTTCCTGGTAATGCTTCTGCAGCGTTCAAGTCTTATCAGGAGAGGAGCAGCTTAAGAGGCCGGTAAAGGAGTTTTTATTGTCAGTATCCATCTCTTTATTCCCCTCTTCCCTTTGACGCTGGATGGCAGGCTGGTTGTGGCTGAAGTGAGGTGTGCTTTCTTTTCCTCTTGTCTGTTAAAGCTGCAAAGGTTTCTGATGGTAATTTGGGCTGCGGGAGACGCTGCTGTCCCCGGTCCGGGGGTCACCGGCCGTGGCTCAGCCGCGGCTCCGTGGGGAGGAGTGAGGGTTGCACACAGAAGGACAGATCTGGGGACACAACCGGCCAGCTCTGGTCTGGGACTCGCCACGCACTTTTCTGTGACCTGGTGAGCAAGCCCCTGCCTCTGTTTCCCCGGAGCCATCGCACGGAGCTCAGCCACATCTCCGAGGCATCGCAGCCTTGGAGCCCTGCTGCTCATCCTCGTGTTCATCTGCTGCGGCAGCGTGGCTGGGAGAAAGGAGCAGTGTCCCCGGGGAAGCCAGCAGCTCGGGGACTGCTGTCCTGTGCCAGCCAGCCCTGGCACTCTCCCTGCCCGTGCCAAGCGCAGTGCTGCGCTCAGCCGCCTTTTCAGCGGCGCGCAATGGCCTTGGGTAGCGTTTGTTGGAGAAAATGGGTTGAATCGCGCGATTCTTTTTGTTGTGGTTGTTCCTGTTGTTCTTTTAGATGCTCATGGGAGTAGCAGAGCAGCTAACGAGGTCGCTGGGGTCTGGTCTCGTCGGTACCTGCCTGCGCTGCACTGGCTGCGCTGCTGCGGGAGCGCTGCTGCTGCTGCAGCACCTCCCGTGCCCAGGGGTGCCCAGACCTGCTGCTCCTCACTGCTCCTCACTGCTCCTCCCTGCTCCTCACTGCCCCTCACTGCCCCTCCCTGCTCCTCACTGCTCCTCACTGCCCCTCACTGCTCCTCACTGCCCCTCACTGCTCCTCACTGCCCCTCACTGCTTCTCACTGCTCCTCACTGCCCCTCACTGCTCCTCACTGCCCCTCACTGCTCCTCACTGCCCCTCACTGCTCCTCACTGCCCCTCACTGCCCCTCCCTGCTCCTCACTGCTCCTCGCTGCCCCTCACTGCTCCTCACTGCTCCTCACTGCCCCTCACTGCCCCTCACTACTCCTCACTGCTCCTCACTGCTCCTCACTGCTCCTCGCTGCCCCTCACTGCTCCTCGCTGCCCCTCACTGCTCCTCACTGCCCCTCACTGCCCCTCACTGCCCCTCACTGCTCCTCGCTGCTCCTCACTGCTCCTCGCTGCTCCTTGCTGCTCCTCACTGCTCCTCACTGCTCCTCACTGCCCCTCACTGCTCCTCGCTGCCCCTCACTGCTCCTCACTGCTCCTCACTGCCCCTCACTGCTCCTCACTGCTCCTCACTGCTCCCTTCCCTGGCCTCGCTGTTTGCTTCTCCAGCCCTGCGCCGCTGCATGCGGAGGGGAAAGCCACGAGCACCCATCCAGCTGGGGGCTGGGAATGGGTCACCCGGCTGTGGTGACATCCCATTGTCACAGAGCGGCTCACCCATGGCCAGCGCTCTATCCCTGACCCTGGGCAGACTCACCTGTGCTCAGAGCTCTCCTGGCTCCCGTGGCAGACACGACATCCTCCCTTAGAGGGTTTTGGGTGGTTACCTGGGGATCAGGCTTGCACAGGGCTGGCTTTGCTGACTGTGATGTCCTCAAGCCCTAAGCTGTGTGTGCTGGTGTGGAGCTGCCAGGAGCTCCTGTCCCCTCCAGCCCCACGTGCTGTCCCTCTTGGCGCTGCAGCAGGTGCCAAACGCTGCGCTGGGAGCAGGTGGGGGTGTCAGAAGTGCAGACAGGTAACATTAGATGGATGATGCATCAAATCCTAAACTGATAAGAGATGGAACGATTGGTGTGTTGTCAAAAGGCCGGGAAGGATCTTTTTTAAATAGACTAAATAGTCTGGACAGGAAGAAGCAAAGAGCAGCACAGAAACAAGAGCAGGTTCGCCACTTCATTTTTCTGGCTGGGCTGTGTGTGTTGCCATCTGTGCTGTGCTCCGTGGCCATCCCCTGGTGCTGGGATTGCTCCCCCATAGCAGGCTCACAGCCTGGAGCCATGGCTGGCATTGCTCCGGGATGCCTGGGGCAGCTTTGACATGACCTTGCCCTGGGCTGGATCTTCCCATTTCTGGTTGTCTCCACTCCAAGGGGTCCCTGGGCTGCTGGTAGAGATTTGGCTGGAGTAGCACAGCTGAGCCTGCCTTAATCCCAGTTTTTAAACTGGCTAAAGTTGTTTTCACTTATCTCTGATCCTGTTGAGCTGTGTTTCACAGTGAGAATAAGCCAGCCCTGGGGTTTGCTCTTAAAGCTCTGCAGAATGGCAGGGAGAGCTCTCAGTGCCAGGGCCGCTGTCTCCCCTGACCCTCAGGGAGTGGCCAGAGCCACACTACCAGTAGTTTACCCCACACACGGGAGGGTGGGACAGTGAGGAGCTGGGAGAGGATGGTGATTTACCCCTGTGTGGCATCCCCATGAGTGTCCCCTGCCTGAGCTGCTGGTGCTGTGGCAGGGACGGGCACTGAGCAGCACGGCTCTGCACGGGAGGATGGGGCTGTGGCCGGCCCAGGAATGGACTGGGAGTGCTGCAGGGGCAGTGGGGCTGCCCTGCAGCTCGGGGGGCTCGGTGTGGCGGGCAGGGCTGCACGGAGGGGCGCGTCCCAGCCTGTCCCTGTGCTTGCAGCGCAGCCATGTGATGCCGGAGGAGCGCGGGGGCGATGATATGGAATGTGGGCAGCTGCCTTCGGACACGCTCCGACAGGTGACGGTCCAGCGCCACCCCCTCTACGGATTCGGCTTTGTGGCTGGCAGCGAGAGGCCCGTGGTGGTGCGGTCGGTGGCAGCAGGTAGGGTGTGCGGGTGGTCCTGGCACAGCTGCAGCGTGCCAGGAAACACAGCGGTGCTCCCCCCGGTAGGACCCCTCCCTGGGCTCCTGTCCTCTCCCGTCCCCTCTGGTGGGCCTGCAGGGTGTCCTCCACAGCCACATACGTGGGCAAATGCTTTGGGGATGCTTGGGACCCTCCTGCTTCCCCTCCACCCCACAGCTCCGGGACGCCTGGGTTGGCCCTGACCCTCTCTCCTGGCAGGCGGCCCCTCTGAGGATAAACTCCTGCCAGGAGACCAGATCTTGGCCATCAACGATGAGGATGTGAGTGAAGCCCCCAGAGAGAGAGTCATCGAGCTTGTCAGGTGAGGACAACACTTGTCCCTCATCGCCTCTGGGGAGGGCCTCATGCCAGGCTGCTGTGCCCGTACCCAAGCCTTGCAGGGTCAGTGCACACCCACGTCACCAGTGGTCACTGCTGGGGTGGGGAATTCTCAGCCTGAGCAGGGGGAGAGCCTTGCAGCAAGTGCCATAGCCCTTCCCAGCTGGCCAAGAAGTGGGAAAGAATCCACAGCCATGTTGTCAAGCACCCCAAGGAGCCCACAAAGATCCCAACCACCACTGGGTTGGGAAGGGTGGGGTGTGCTCTCAGTAGCCAGTTGCGCATGTTGAGGTCCATCACCATAAGGTCCCATCCATCTTCATTTCTCCTTTCTGTCACAGGAAGGCCAAGGACTTCATCATCCTCACGGTCCTGCACACCCACCAGGTGAGACTGGCAGGGCCGTGGCCAGCTCCAGGGCAGCCAGGACAGGGCTGAAAAGCCGTTCTGGAGACCAAGGCAGGGTCCCTGGAGACCCTGGGAGACCAGTCAGGCAGCTCAACTGATTTGTTGGACCCACGTCCCACCACCCCACGGCTCTTCCAAGCTGTGGGGTCTGAGAGCTGCCACGGCCCCGCGCAGCCATCTCCCCATCCTTGCCACCAGGAGGGAGGGAGGAAAATATTCCCAAACCCATCTGGTTTGCTGATGTGTCGGATGGGGTAACCCATCGTGCTAGAGGTGCCAGGGAGGGGTCGCTGCTGGCTCGGGAGTCCCTGCAGGCTGGGAGGGGCTGGAGATGTTGTGGGCACCAGCAGTGATGGTGCTCTGGGGCTCGGCGCCCTTGGCACTGTGGCATTGCGAACTGTCACGCCAGAGGCACCCTTTGTGCTTCCCGAGTCTTTGATGACAGGAAAGAAGTGTGAGAGCACAGGGGAGCTCTCAGATGCCCCCACGCCGCCAGCCCGGACAGGCAGCTCAGCTGGTGCTGGCACCATCAGACACACACAGCTCTGTGGCACAACTGTCTCTGTGCTGGAGTGTGTGCAGGCACTGCCAGCAGAACATCCTGCAGGGATGCCCGGGCTCCTGCCATCTCCCTGGGGCTGCAAACCCACATCCAGGGGTTCATCTCTCTCATCCAGCTGGTGCCAATGCCTCCAAGCGAGACCTGGCTGATATCTGCTGGAGCTCAGCCTGCACAAGGAGTGCCAGGCACAGGTGCTCACTGGGGTGCAGCCTCCCTGCCACACTGATGCTGCTGGTGTGACTTCAGGGGCTGCTGCTCGTGGTTCTGGCCCTGTCTGCAGTGCTGTGTAACCACAGCCAAGGGGATTTGCTTTCCACCCTCCCCATTTCATGGTTTGCTGCCCACTCCCCATCATCACGCTGGCTCCAGAGGGGTTTCCTCTGGGCCCCGTGTCTGCCTTTCCCCACACCATGGCTCCAAGGCTGGGTGGGTGATTTATCCAGTGCTCTCTTTCCAGTCCCCCAAATCTGCTTTCATCAGCGCAGCCAAGAAGGCGAAGCTAAGGTCCAACCCAGCCAAAGTCCGATTTTCTGAGCAGGTGACAGTCGGCGAGACAGACCCAGTAAGTGCTGCCCTGCCTTCCTCTGTGCTTCACCCCCTGAGGTGTCCCCAGGGCCACAGGGTGTGGGGTGGTTGGAGGCCACAGGGCTCCCCTTCCCTGATTTGGGCTCTGCAGGTGAGAACAGCTGTCTGGCCTGGGGAGTCCCACGGGAAGATGCCCTTGGGCACAGTCAGTGTGTTGGGTCACTGCTGGGTGACTTTCTGTGGACATCCCTGTCCCTCTGAAGGAGCCCCAAAACTGGCCTTAGAAACCTGGTCTCAGCTGAGTCCCCCTGAGCACCCAGGGGAGGCATCCAGGCAATGCCAGTGCCTGCTCTAAGGAAGATCTGTGGCTTCCAGCCCGATCCCAAAAGCTTTGGAGTGCCTCTATGTGGGGCAGGGTGACCAGGGCACTGCTGAATGGCTGTGGAAGCTGAAGAGTTCAGCCCAGTGCTTTTATCTCTTAATTGCAGAAAGGTTTTATTAACAACAAAACAAAACTGAAAAAAAAAAAAAAACCCTGTAAAGCGCTTCTAGCATGTTCTATTTTTAAGGAAAATCAATTAGGTAATTATCTGATTGAAATGCTTCTCACCAAATAAAATCAGCCTTCTCCCAACTTCCCGCAGAGGGGATGTGCAGGGCTGAGGGGGGATAGGCTTGGGGTGAGGGTCAGGAAAGGGGGATCAGCTCTGAGCCCCCCCAGCCATAGCTCCTGTCTGGGACACCAGCTGGGGAGCGGGACAGGCTGCCAGGCGTGGGCACTGCCATGTGCTGCACAGAGCCAGGTGCTCTGTGCCCACTGCAGCTGCTGGAGCTGAGGAGGTGAATCTGTCAGGCAGCTCTGAATCGCCTCAGCTCTGCGCTGCTTGATGGCTCAACAGAATGCTGGGCTTTCAGGGGAAATGTGCCTCTTAGCACAAAAGCCCGGAGCAGCAGAGGATGCCACGAGTGCTCCATCACTGACACTCTCTCTCCCCACCCTTCCTCTGTCTCTCTGTGCCCCCCACCCTCCTCGCCTCCCCTTTGCTGGCCCCACATGCCAGGACATGTTGAAGAAAGAAGCTCTCCTCCTCATTCCCAACGTGCTGAAGGTTTTCCTGGAGAACGGGCAGATCAAATCCTTCACCTTCGATGGCCGAACCACTGTGAAGGTGAGCCCCTCTGCTGCCCCCACAGCACCATGACGCTCCTCTCCTCCCACCTGCCCACTCCATTTTTCCTCTCCTGCTTCCCGAGCACGAACAGCAGCGCTGGGCTGGCTGTGAGCTGCTCTGGCATGAGGGATGGCCCGTCTGCTCCCCAGGCAGCACACTCTGCAGCTGGCAGGTGTGGGAATCCAGGGCTTATCTCTGGCTGCCCTGGCAGGTCTGGGACCCTGGCAGGGGTCAGGAACCCCCCTGGACAGAGCCCCCAGAGACACTGGCTGTGAGCTCTGTCCATGGAAAAGAGTTTTCAGTCTTACAGGATGAATTACAAGCTCTGAGTGTTTGATATAAGTGATAATTAAGTGTGGCACGGGTGCAAAAGTAAAATTTTAGGATTCTAGATTAGGGGTTCAAAGGGCACAAGATGGAGGAAATTGGGTGTGCCTTGTCCTTTTTCTCCTTCTTCATGCCCTCCATGTTTCACTGTGGTGTTGGCATTTTTCTGTTGGTTTAGGCTGGGGACACACTGTCCAACGTAGGTGACAGATATTGGCACGTTATTGTAAATCCAGCACAGGTAGTTTGTGGTATTTAATGTTTGTACCATCCCACTGAGGGCAGAGCCCCACACGCTGCCCTGCAGGACAGAGCTGCGGCAGGGCAGCAGAACATGTTAGACATAAGCAAGAATAAACAGCCTTTAAAACAGCACAAACGAATTATGGCTTCTTTGGCAGTGGGGCAGAAAGACAGAGACTTTCTACAATCTCGGAATCACCAATACCCACAGATTCCGACAGCAGGGACGGGGCTTTGCTGGCTCTGCCTCTCCTGCCTTCTCTCCTTGCTGTCAGCCTGCTCTCCAGCCAGGCTGGGTCTCCTGCCATCCCCCTGCCAGGGGCCAGCTCCCTCAGCACCGCCGGGGGTTACCCAGGTGCTGGCTCTGCCTGCTGGTCACCTCCCGCTGCAGGGTCACTGCACCACCCTCTGCACCCTCTCCACCTCATCCTGCCACGGCTCTCGGTGAGGTCCCAGCTCCCCGCAGGGAGTAGCCAGTGCCTGGCACCCAAGCCTGTCTGTGGCGTTTGCAGGACGTGATGGTGACGTTGCAGGACCGCCTGTCGCTGAGACACATCGAGCACTTTGCCCTGGTCCTGGAGTATTCCAGCCCGGAGCAGAGCCACCGCTTCCTGCTGCTCCAGGACAAGCAGCCGCTGGCCCACGTAAGCTGCTGGGCGTGGGAGGGTGCTGGGATGGCCGAGGTGAGGGGCTGGGCACAGAGAGCCTCCTCTGCCCCCAGCGAGGGCTTGGCTGCTGTGGGCACACAGGTTGTGGGCACAGGGATGGGGCTGTGGCCCAGCCTCACCCCCATGGCTCCAGCTGTGAAAAGCAGGGGAGCAGCACTGACAGCACTGAGCCATGGAGTGCCCAGGGGCACTGAGCAACCCCCAAAGGGAGCAGGGGGCACACAGTGCAATGCAGGAACAGGAGGGGATGGAAGCTGGGCTGAAGAACAAGAGGGGCAGATGCTTGCAGCCTTCTGAGGTGTTCTGGTGTTGCTGTGTGTGGACACCTGAAGCCTTCTGAAGTGGTCTGTGTTACTCTGCATGGGCAGATGCTTGAAGCCTTCTGAAATTTTGTGATGATACTCTGTGTATTGTGGCCATCTCAAATGGGATGTGCTCTAACAGGCTGGGTGACGCTCTACCTCTCTCAGCCTCTAAACTATCAGGCTAGCCCAGAGGTACAAGGCCTTGAGGGAGGAACATCAGGAGATGGGCAGAGATTCAGAAGAGGCTCTAACCCCGATGTGGTTGTCCAGCTTCTTTATTCCACGAGATCCGGGGGGAAAGAGAGGGGGAAAGAGAGCGAACAGGAAAGGTCAGGGGCTTATCGAGGCTCTGGACAGGGAGGGCTCTTCTGGCTCTCTGCATCAGGGCAGGAAGGAGGGGACCAGGCTTATCTGATCAGAGTCACAGGGTCCCGGGGAATGGGGAAAAGCATAGCTTGAGCCCACTGTAACAGCTGGGGTTGTGCTGTGGGGTGGCACAGCTTTTCCTTGCCTCTGGGCATGGTCCTGCAGGCTCAGGGGTGAAAAGAGTGGCCAAAGAGGGAGACAGTCAGGGTTTTCTCCATCCCACACTGCCAGCACCATGGAGCTGCTCTGTGCTCCAGCCTGGGCAGCTGCAGACAGCACTTACGAGTACCCTTGGCTGGGAGAGCCAATAAGCTGGCACTGCACAGAAGCAGGGATAAAATGGGGATTGTGGAGCAAACATTAGCCTAAGTGGCATACATCCTACAGCACCAGGCAAAGCTGTCACACCAAGGAAGGCTGGGACATTGCCGGGATGAAAGGTGGTGCGTGGAGGAGAGAAATGCAATATAATGCCAGTTGAGAGGAGAGGGCATCTCGTGCCCTGCAGCCAATGGTTCCTGGGCTCACTGCTCCCCTCTGCTCCTGCCACAGGTTGTGCAAAGAACACACTACCACGGCATGAGATGCCTCTTCCGTGTGAGCTTCTTCCCCAAGGACCCAGTGGAGCTGCTGCGCCGGGACCCTGCAGCTTTCGAGTACCTGTACATCCAGGTAGGGACTGGGAGCTGCTGGAGCTCATGGCCCACACGTCTGCCAGGACTGGGCCCTGTGGCAGCACCCCTCAGGTGGCAGTGCCCTGTCCCTGTCTGAGGACACCTCTTCTCCCTTCTGCAGAGCCGCAACGATGTGATCAGAGAGCGCTTCGGCACAGACCCCAAGCCAGAGATGCTGCTGGGGCTGGCTGCCCTCCACATCTACATCACTGTCTCAGCCACCCGCCCCAGCCAGAAGGTCTCCCTCAAGAACGTGGAGTGAGTCCTCCTCCCTGTCCCCAGGCTTCCACACAGCCCTCCTTTGTTGTCCCTTCCCTGTGTCCCTGTGTCACTGCAATGTTTTGGGGTACAAACGTGAGATGCTGTGAGAGACCCCCAGGCTGGGTGGTGGCTCAGGAGCTTGGCAGCGGTGACAGCCAGCCCCTGGTCCCACCGTGGGGCTGTGTAAGACCCCCTCACACTGACATGCAGCAGCCAGGGCTGGGGACATTTGCTGCCAGCCCGGGATCATTTCCACGGGAACCCGGGCTGATTTTCTGCCTGCATCCAAGGCAAGGAGAAGGCTCTGTGGCTGTGTCATCTCAGCCTGTCACCAAGCACTGGCTCAGCCCTCCTCTGGCTCCTAAGGGCCCTAAACCCATACCCAGCCTATCTGTGCAGCTGGCCTTGCCCAGCTGGCACAGGGAGGAAGGAGGGAGGGATCACCCCGAGAGGACCCCAAAAGAGGTTTGGGAATTTGCCCTAAGCTTACACGAAGGTGAGTGGGAGCCGGGGTCTGCTGCAGAGCATGGCACTGCTGCTCCCCAGGCTGAAGCTGGTAGCTGTGTCACCAGCCTGGTGACATCCCAGCTCTGTCCCCATCCCCCTGGGGACCCGAGCTGGGGGCTGCTGCTGCCCGGGCTGTGGTGCCAAGGAAGCGCTGGTGTGTCTCCAGCTCCTCTAAAACAGGAGGATGCTCTGGGGCAGTTTTCTGTCCCCCTCTGCTCTCTGGCAGTATCTCCGGCCTGGTGGCTCATGCAGGCTTCCCTCCCCACAGGAAGGAGTGGGGCCTGGAGCCCTTCCTGCCCCCCTCGCTCCTGCAGCTCATCAAAGAGAAGAGCCTCAGGAAATCCCTCTCGCAGCAGCTCAAAGCCCACCAGCACCAGCCTGGCGGCACCAAGGTGAGCCCAGCCCAGCCCTGCCCTCCACCCCAGCCTGCTGTCCCCAGCTCCTCGGGGACCCTGGGATGGGAGATAAACCCCAGAGAGGCAGGTAGACACTCTCCTGAATCCCAGCTCAAGAGCTGATGTGGATTGCAGGGAGTGCAGCGAGGATCAGGGCTGAGCTCAGCTGAGGCTTGGCTGAAGTGGCACCATCAGCTCATCATTATGTTATCGCTGCTTCTGGGCTTGGAAAGCTCTGGAGGCTGCGGCTGAGCCTTCCCCTCGGTCCCTGCAGCCTTCACTGCTCCCCAGGGAGGGAGGGAGGCTTGTACACCTCAGGGGGGTTATACATCAAGCACTGGGGCTCCTTCCTGCTGTGCCTCTGCTCTGAGCTACCTCCCAACAGCTGCCAGGATGGCAGGGGAGTGGAACCTGCCCTCACCCACCACTCAGACTCGCTGCCAGCACAGCCCGAGCCCGGAGCTGCCTCACAACGTGCTGTGCACCCCTACCAGAGAGCCCCCAGGTCTGCCCCAGCCTCTGCATCTCTCCCTGTGCTCTCAGTGATCACCTGGGTGCTGTTTTGTCAGGTCTCCACAGCCCAGGCAAAGCTGCAGTACCTGAGGATCCTGAACGAGCTGCCGACCTTCGCTGGGGTTCTCTTCAACACGGTGGGACTGGTACGGTAATTCAGGCTGGGCTGGCAGGTGCCTGCTCCTGAGTGTGTGCTGGGGGAGCCAGGGACACGTGGCTCCCACAAAAATCACTTCCCTCAGTCTCTTGCTCTGCCCTGCTGAGCTCCAAGCCCACCCAGAGAGCCTCGGAGCCTCTGCTGTCAGCAGGGTGTGTCCTCAGCTCTGCAGGGTCAGGATCTGCTCTGCTCCTGCCAGCCTGTGAGGCAGCAAGATGACCTGCTCCGTGGAGCTGGAGGAGTTTCAGATGTGTGTTTGTATCTCGATCGTGCCCTGGCACATCCCTCCATCCATCCTGGAGGGGGGCAGCCCCTGGCAAAGGCCACTGTGTTCCTGCTTGCCCACAGCTGGGCTTGCTGCCCTGTCACAGGTGCTGCAGCCTGGTCACTGCCACAGTGATCCTGCATCTCCACTGCCCACCCAAACCACCTCAGCAGGAGGAAAGCCACCAGCCCAAACAGGGCCCACAAAGGCTCCCCACTGCCTGGCTCACCCTTTCGTCCCTCTCATCCACCTCCTACCCAGAGGTCCCCATCTAGGTGTCGCCTCTCTGCCATCCTTCCATTTACCCATCCTTCCTTCCACCCACCTGTGGTCTCAGCACTTCCCTGGCTTTCAGTGCTTTGCCTCCTGGCTTCCTTCTCTGGCAGCCTTTGGTCTGCTCTGCCCCTCAGCTCACAGCTCAAAGGGCTGCCTGCAGGAAACCAGTGCAGGCACAACCTCGCAGTGTCTGCTTGGTGCCACAGCAGAGCAGTCAGGGCCTGCCCCTGGCACTGCCTGAGTAGACAGCATTTTTTTATCTCTGGCACCAAAGCAATGCTTCTGAGCCAGCCTGTGAGTTGAACTGTGTTGAAGTGGTAAAAAGTATCCCCTTATTATCTTCTGCAACAGTCTGCCCAGCTCTTCTTCCCCTCCACACCTGGCTCCTTTTAGACCAGAGCAAGAAACATCCTGATTTCCAGTTAAGGCTTTCTTCTTTTCTGGAATACATTCACTCCCTCCTTTGCTTCCTTCTCTCAGAGGCAATGTCAGATCAGACAGATTTGTAACACACTTACTTTAGTGCAGTGACCCCAGTGAGCCTGAATATTTCATGTGGACAGTCAGTTCAGAGCTTTACTCTTAAATAGCCTTGACATCCTGCACACCACTCCCAGCTCTGCCAAGGGGCTCAGGGAGGCAGGCTGGGGCACCAGCCTTACCTACTGCTCTACAAAAGCCATCCTGGAGCTGACCAGGCTGCCAGCATTGAGGCTTGGCCCCATGGGGAGAGCCAGGTGCAGCCTGTGCCACGCCAGGGTGGGTTTGTTCAGCCCTGCCTGTCTGTCTCCTTCTCTCTCCATGTGCCTGTGCCACCAGGACGAGAAGCAGGCAGCCACCACCCTGCTGGTGGGACCCCGGCACGGCATCAGCCACGTCATTGACCTGAAGACCAACCTCACCACGGTGCTGTCAGAGTTCAGCAAGGTCAGCAAGATCCAGCTGTTCAGGGAGAACCAGGGGGTGGCCCGGGTGGAGACGAGCATCCTGGATGCCAAGGTAGGCGTGGGTGCCGTGGAGATGAGGCTGGGGGGTTGGGGCCAGCCTTTGAGGGGATTCACGTCACAGCTGTGTGCTGGAGAATCTGCTTGGGGGTTCCTAGAGACTCCAAAACCCCTTTCCCACCAGGGTCTGCAGCATCTCCCCTGCTGGTCTGCCTTCTTGTGCCACACAGGCAGGGCTGGCTGCTGAGGGCCACAAGGCAGGCATGGTGGCCCTCTGGCCATGACCCGAACACCTCCCTAATGGTTCCAGCAGGATCCTCGGGGCAGATGGGGCTGACACAGGCCAGGCAGGTAGCAGGACATTTTGGAGGCAGGACAGCACCTCACCTCTGCTCAGGGCTGGAGAGGAGCAGTACATGGCCATAGCTGGGCTGGGTGCAGATACTGGAGGGGACTGGGAGGTTTCATGCATTAGCAGCACTTGTGGAACTTGCCAAGCCGGGCAGGATTGTGGAATGAAGTGGAAATGATGGGAAGGAGGTGTTGGGCTCAGTGTGAGCACAGACAGCTGTGTGTCCCTGGCCCAGTAGCCACCCCCTGGGTACCTTTGCCAGCTGCCCTTCAGCCCCCAGAGCACTCCTTGGCATGTCCCCCTGAGCCCCGTGTGTTGTCACCCCCATCTCCTGCTGTTGGTGTGTAGTGCAGTGCTGGTTCTGATAGTCAATCTCTGTGGTCAGCCCCTGCCTCCCCTCCTCATGGGTTCCAAACCCTCCAAGAAAAGTGTCAGCAGCACAGTAAGATCTTTATTTCCTTCTTTGGTGCCCGGTGCAGCAGCCACAAGGTCCTAAAGAGAACTTCCCTTGGCCTTTGGTCGGGTTTTTAACAAGCTGGGACATGGCCCTGACAGACCCAAAGGCAGATAGTTGTGTGTGTCCCCAGAGCAGCTCGGTGTCACCACCTCCCTGCCCCACGGGGAAGGGCAGCTGAGAGGCAGAGATCTCACAGGTAAATGGCAAGTCTTCTCTCCTCTCACTGTGAATTCAACAGGACAGAGTGAGGACTGAGTTTGGAGTGCATCATTCAGGAGCAGCACTTGGCAGAGGCTGTCTGGCACAGTGGGGCCAGGACTCTGTGGGGCAGGGAGGTGCTGCTGCACAAACTCTCTGAGCCCTTGGCTGTGGGTCAGCTTTCCTGCCCCTGCATTCATCCCTTTTCCCCCCAGACTGATGGAGCTGAGCTGTGCCAGCTGTCTCTGTGTTTCATCTCCTGCAAGGTCTCAAAGCCCTCTCTGCAGCCCTTTCTTTGCATAGTCTCACAGCTGTAATCCTGGTGCATTTGTTTAGGATTCTCCTGCTGCCTCCTGTCCTGGTGGATTTTAGCACTGTCTCCCACCCAGCTCATTAATTCCTGCAAGTCTGTTTTCCTGCTGCCACTGTGCCTGGTCCAGCAGCTCTGCTAACCTGCAGTAACACTCCAGTAACCTCTGCCAGAGCTGTGCTAATCCTCATCCCCTCTGCTTCAGCTCTCCCCTCCACAGCCTCATCGACAAAGCCCTTTTTTGCATTCCCAGTCCAAGTGGGTATTTGGTCAACTGTAACATTTCTAACATTCCCTCTTCTGCATCCCAGCGAGGTCAGTTGTTGTGCAGTTAAAGCCTTGGTGTCCTGCTGTGTCTGTTCTAACCCTTCAAAGCCCTCACCCTCCCCTGCTGCAGCATGGAGAGGTGGAAGCCCTCCTTGCCCAGCCCCTCCGGCTCCTGGGCTGTGCAGGAATCCATCCATTTACTCCTTACAGAGCAGGAATAACCAGGGGCTGCACCAGAGTAACCCTGCAGGTTCCTCCTGCTGCCCACGCCCCTTGGATTTGTGTGCATAAATCACCACATTAACACATCAATAACAGGCTGCTCATGACCCTGTTACTGCTGGTGGCTCACTGTGGGTGCTCTGAGCATGGCTGTCCCCATTGTCACCGTGGCACTGAGCTCTGGGGGTGCTGCTGCCCTCCTCCCCCTGCTGTGGCAGAGAGCACTGTCCCCCCACACACTGGCCACAGCAGGGACAGATGCTCTGGAGGCTTGGGTGATGCTGGCACCCATCCACTCTAAATTAGGTGGCAATTCCCACGCAGCTTGGCCACAGCTCCTGCAGCGCTGCTCCCCACAGCCATTCCCCACTGCAGCAATCCACTCTGTGCCTCCCCCAGCCCTTTCCTGCTGCAGGAGCAGGCTGTTCCCTCTGACCCTGCTATCCAGCCCCCCAAAGGCTGCAGAAAAGCCAGCTCACACACTTCCAGCGAGCACGGCCACATGCACGATGGCTTTATCTCCATGAGAAACTCCAGGCAGCTGCCTCTGGCCACCAAAAGCCCCTCTGCCTGCCTGGAATGGAGCAAGCATCCCATTTATGGCTCTCAGCGGGCTCCACAGCACCGTGCCAGGGCAGAGGCTGCTGTTATCTGTCTTCATTTAGCCATTATCCGAAGGGCTGGGTTTTAAAGGCAGAATGTTTGCTCCAAAATGAGGCATATGCTAATCCTACGCAGGACAGCGATGGATGAGGCAGGCTAAGAAAAGCAGGCAAAAAGATCATTACCTCACAGTGCTAATCTGCTCTCTACAATTATTCTATTGCACTGAACGTGTCACTGGCTAAAGCCCTAGGTTGCAAATCAATCAGTTTCTGCTGTGAGCTGCAAACCATTAGAGGGCTCAAAGCAGTGTCCTGACTGCTCTGGAGACCTGTCAAATCCATGTCACCCCTGGGAACCTGTCAGGGCTCCAGTGTAGGAGGGGATGTCCCCCTGGGCTATTTCACCCTGATGCCTGGCACTGCTGCTCTCATAGGGTGCTGGTGCTGGGGCAGCTCCCAGCCTGAATCTGTAGGAGGTGCTCGCTGAGTTACTGTGGAAACACAGATGGTCAATGATGGTTTAGGGTTTTGTGCAGAAAGACCATCTTGAATTTCTAAGTGTAGTTAAAATGAAGGGTAAAGAAGGGAGTCAGGTCATAGAGCAGCTCTCAGCTGGGAGGTCTGAACACCCTGACCAAACCAGCCAGTACAGTCCAGACACCCTTATCTGCTGCTGAGCTGCAACCACAGCCCAGACTCACCTGCCAGGAGGGAGCTGGGGGAGATTTTCAGGTAACAAACAGGCTTGAGGAGATCATAAACCATTTGCATTTATTTTGGGTGGAAAAGAAATACTGTTTGTCTTATGAATTATTCACTAGGTAGTTAATTGGTTTGTTTTGGCGCTTTTCCATCCTGGGCTTCAATTTCTGTTTAAAACAGCCTAGGGATACAAACCCTGGGCTGGTACCTCTGCCTTGCCTTCTTTAGATTTTTGCCACTGTGGCAAGAGGGGGGAAAATACTGACAGAACCCCTCAGGGAGGAGCTACACAACCTCGGGGCAGAAGAACAAAAACCTCCAGGCTCCTGCTACTGGTTCCAAGGATTTTTATTCCATTGCAAGGTCTGTGAGAGCTGCAGGGAGGACAGGAGCAGATTTTGTCTCAACAGTCACAGAAGGAGTGAGTAGTTCTGCTTGGGAATGCTGAGAAAGTTCCCAGTCTGCAGCTGGGAGCAGGATCACACATCCCCAGCTGCACTGCAGTGGTGCAGGTGGTCTTTCTGCAGGTTTCAGTGGTCATTCTCACCTGACAAATCCTCCTTGCTGCTGGGGCTGTAGCTCCTCTGCTCTTCCTCCTCATGTTTGGGCACTGATTCTGGAGCTCTTACATTTGCTGGGGGCAGGGAGGTGGCACAAGGCATCTCCTGTGCTCTTTATGCATTAAGTGCATCTTGCCAGGTTCGGGGGTTCTACATCTCCCAGGGGCTTTCCCCTCCTGCTGGGACCAGCATTTGAGAGTGGCCAATACTTCTGAGCCAGCTCAGATTCGAGCTTCAGGCATGCATCTCCCTTCCTCCCTGGTGCAGCCCTGCAAAGTGCTCCTGTAGCTCCCAGTATCCCAGCAAGGACAATGTCAGCATCTCCTGCCTGGCTGTCAGAGCCCCGGCCTGGTTCAGGGGCTCCATGTGGTGGAAAAACTTCTCCTCCAACCTGTGCTTCCAGAGAAAGGCTCAGCAGTCTCTGTTGTTCGGTCTCAAGGCAGTTTATTGCAAGTTATCTAAAAGATTTTCTTCTGGGGCTGCTGTGGTTTGCTCACAGCTCAGGCAGAGGCACACACACACCCTGACATCCTCTCTGACTCCCGACTGCTTCTTCTCTCCCCCTCTGCCCAGGGCTGTGCTGTCTTTTATATGGTACATTACGTGTTACATGGGTACAGTTTTTCCCCAATGCCTATTACCTATATTAAATGGTGCTTTTCTATCTTTTATATGGGACATTACGTGTTACATGGTTACAGTTTTTCCCAATGCCTATTACCTATATTAAATGGTGCCTTTCTACTCTAAACCAATCTGTGAGTGCCAACATCATTAAGAACATGGAGGTAAGGAAGAAGAAAGAGGAGGAACAGGACTGGCCTACATTCCTCCATCTTAGAACCTCTGACCCCCATGTACAAAGTAAAAACCCCCCTGTACAGGTGCTAAAACCCCCTTGTACAATACTAAAAAATTCTTCCCTCTACTTTGTAACTACTTCTACTATAATATCTAAACTTTTGTGACTTCTTGTTTTTCCTGCAAGGTTGGTAAATCATTCCATGGCTCAAACCCAAAATCACAGCTGTTTCCAGCTGCCTGCCAGGGTCTCAAATGCTTCTGACCTGGACCCAGAACCTCCAGAAATGTCTGAGGGACATTTTGAGTTCCCACACCTGGCACCCAGACAAGCCTGGCAGCCTGGATGGGGCACAGGAGGTGACTGCTCCCCCAGGCTGCCCAGGGCAGGAGGTGTGGGGGGAGCTGCTCAGCTCCAGGCTCCCCAGGCTGTGCAGCTCCACAGCTCCCACAGGAGCTGAGGGTTTGTTCCATCTGAAATGGCTTTTCCAACGGAGCATTTCTCCTTTCTGATTTACACAGCTGCACAGCGCTGGGCTTTTCGTTATTAACAGTCTCAAGGTTGGGAAAAAGGCTGCTGA